CACAGGAAAATCCGTCAAACTCCCAGGTTGGAAGCACATGCAGTGAAGATGATGTGACCCAGAGCAAACCTCCATGGGAGTACCCTATATTCTGACCTTGAAAATTATCCAAAAAAAACATAAGCAATCTGCCAGGTTTCTGAGGTTATACTGACAGCATAATGTATTGTCAAAATGTGCCTATGAGGTTTCATTATCAGAATTGATGTTTTTACTGTATTTATGCACACACTATTTCCCTTTTTTGAGCTCCCAGGTCCAAACATTCATAAGGGAAGTGGCTGGGCAGACTTGGCCAATCATCTCTAAACAGCATGCCAAAGCCATTAGTCCATAATGGTACAGTCAGGATTACAGCTGGGACCTGGAGGGCTGCGAAGGGAACATAGAACTCGGTTGTTTGTTTGTTTTACAAGACTTTTGCCTGTTCAGTCTGTAAGGTGCCAGTGGGCTTTGTGTGGTTTAATTCCCAGTTGATTTGAACAGTATGCAGTGTGTCAACAATGGCAGCTACTCCCTGGCCACAGCACACTTCTTCCAAAAGATGCATGCCAAAATAAATGGTCTGTGACACTGCAAGTTATCTAATGGGCCTAAACTTAGTTTTCTGTCAGACAGGTCGAGCTTTCGGTGTCATCCAAGAGTTGATCCGTGTCCCCAAAGGTAACAGCACCTGTATATTGATCACACTTTGTAGATAAAGCGGGCTGCAGACTTCATCCAGTCATCTGTGGTGTTGAAGCCCTGAGCGTGTTATTTGGATGTTGCCATTTAGGATATGTGGTGCAAAAGAATAAAAAGGATCGTACTGAGCCGTGGAAACTTTGATATATTTGATATAACTAAGATATATTGAAAAACAGTTTTCAGATTGTAACAATGCTACAGATTAAAGAGGGAAAACAGTAGAACTTCATACAATCTGATAGAATGAACCATTAACATACATTTGAATAACAGGTCCTTCGACATGGAACAGCTATATTCCCACAGCCGCCACCAAAAAAGAATGAAAAACAGTTCTGTTATGAGAGTTACAAAGACGGGGGATGTGGAGGAAGTTGAGACGGTGAATGTTTTGGGAGACATTTAAAGATGGAAATTGGAGAAATAGAAACTCAAACTCTTTAAAGATGTGAAAGCACAAAGCTGCTTTAGATTAAGTGACGAAAGAACACAAGAAGAAACGTTGGTTTTACTTTTCCCAAATGGACATTGGGAGAGAAGGACAAAGGTCTTCTGAATGATGCTGATGTTTTTGTACACTGGACAGCTAATCTAACCTCCAGCTATGCACACGATGAGTTGATAAAAAGAGGGCAGATGCTTTTTAATCTGCTAACACTAAAAATGTTGTTTATTGTTAGTTGTTATTGTTTTAATCTTGTCTGATAGACTCAATTAATATAATATTTATCTCCAAACGAGGTGAAGGTCAAAGAGCAATTAACTGTAAACTTAGTATATTTCAACCCGACAGGTCCTTAAAAAATCCGTCCTTAAATTCAGAGAAAACTGAAGTGGAGGAAAGTAGAGGGGAAAAGAGGGAGTGTCCAATGAACAATACCAAATGTGATATCATTAAGAAACACATTTTTAAATATATAATCGAAAAAACAATCTGGCACAGGACTTGAGAAAAGCATTGACATCTTTGGGCGATCCATCTCCTGCTCTCTGAAGAGTCATCAGAAATGGTCTCCATGGAGAAGTGGCGAGTGTCTAGAGCAATTTTTATGGAGAGGAAATAGAAATAAAAAGGCTGAGGTTTGCCAAAGGACACAAGAACTCGACTGAAAATCACTTGCAACAGGTCTTCTGCAGAAATGAATTCTCCCCAGAGCCAAGACATCAACATTATTGAAGCGGCATGGGATCGTCTGACAGAGAACGGAACAAAAGGCAGCCAATATCCAAAGAAGAGCTTTGGAATGTCCTTCAGAGGAGTTAGAGAACTATTCCTGAAGACAGCTAAAAGAAAGCTTCAAGGAAGTTTGTCTTAGAGGGTCCAGGCTGTGCTGAAGAATAGAGGTGGTCGGATCAAATATTGACTTTCAAGCTTGGATATTTCACTAGAAATGGGCATGTTAACACTGTCACACGTTGTGTAGCATGAATCAATAGCATTCCTGAGGACCAGATGGAAGATAAGCAGATAAAAAAGGATCAGTTCAGCTGTGCATTTGTCCTGTTCAAGCAGTGGGAAAATGTTTTGTGTGTATTTCTGAAAAAACACAGCAAAAAAAGGGTGTTACAGTTCCACTGTAAAAATATTTTATGAAGCCATAAGTCTTGCTGGGACGGAAGGCAATATTTCATCTGGATGAGACTACATACATCAAGCAGGATTTTCTGAGTTAATGAGTAGTTGAATGAAAAAAAAACAGAATGACCTTTACATCAAAGCAGCGGAAAACATTCTGAAATGCTGCAATGTTTTAATTTTGGCCCAAATAAAGACATATGGAACGTCACTCTGAAGTTGCACTCATCTAGCTTGAGGATTCAACACAGGCTTTGCGACAACTTCATTCAGGCAATGGCAGATAAGAATCTGAGAACATGGGGTTCAGTCAAAGGCAATGTTATGAAAGCAGCATGGGAACTTGAGCGTACATGCTGCCTCCAGTACATACATTATTTCATCTTTTATTCACCAAACTGAGTCAGCAAGATACGTTTTCCATGTTTTGTCTTTGCTCCTGGGATAGACGACCACACACGCACACACACGCACGCAAACATCCACCCCAGTATTTCAGAATTTTACGGTCCTATCCAGATTCCCACAGGACTTCAGTGCACAAACAGACAGCGATTGCCCGCTTGAGCGTATACCCTTAAATCACATCATCTCTTCATCTTTCATAAATCACTGATAAACAAACATAAATGTGCAGAAAGCCTCCAATAAACAGCATGAGTGTCTGCGTGGGGGCATAAATCTTTGCTTCCTCTTTTTGCAGGTGGTAGGATATACATTACAGAGACTGATCCCCTACAAGAGGCTCAGGTCAACCCCAAGGGCGAGCTCTCCAACATTAAATTGTGAAATGCTAGTTTGGTCTCTGACATTCCCCGAGGACACTGGTTCCCCATAAAGAGTGAATGCAGACTCGTGAGGGGGACCGCAGAGGCACAGAGGAAAAGTTCACCCGTTATGCTGGTAGTAATCCTGGAGACCTTGCTTTGAACAAAGCAAACAAGAGGGTAAGATATGGGAGATGCTGGCTGTCCTCAAGGGAAACAAGCTAAGTGACAGACAGAAAGCTATCCTCTTCAGTGATGCTGTCTTTGGGGCTCATGGATGGTTAGCGAGCAATGGACAACATAAACAAACATAAAGCTCCCTGTCAATCAGTCCCACCCAATACATGATGTTGTAATAACCAAAGATGGTGATGCAATGAAATGCTGTTTGTATTGTATTATACACCTCATATCTCAGCGTTAGAGGCTTATTCTGATTTTGGTTGGATTAGCAAAAACTACATTAGCTACACCACCCACAGTGATTGTCCCAACATGCTATCAAACTGTAGCTTTTTGACTCTATGTGTTTATGTAAGTGATAAGAAATGGCAATGGTCTACTTTGATTTGAACTTCTAAATAAAGTTAAGTAAAATATCAAAACAATTGTCAAATCAGCAACAGGTAGTTTGGTTTATTAACTACTCATGCAATAACATTTGCACTGGACACAGCCCATGTCCTTCCTGGAAAATCCAGAATCTGAACTATTAGATATATGGGCAAATGGCCCTTAAAGACCACCTGGTATGTATCTGATTGGTTGACTTGACTAGTCCTGCTGTAAAGAATGGTTTATGATTCGGTGCCCCTGTGCCTTGAGGCCCATTGAGAATGGCTTTAGCTCCGTCATCTGAATGAGGTCAATCATGGCATCTAGCTCAGCTCTGAGCTCATCCTCTGCTGCAAAGTAACACGTCATCCAAGTGCTCAGTTGGCTTCTCACAAACATATAGTCTCACGTTGCTCAGAAGTTAAATTCAGACAAAGTAATTGCTGCCATGAAGCATTTTTACAGCAATAAAATCAGTCTACCACAGGCCTTCAGATTTATGGACCTGCTTTGTATTTCTAACTCGGCCTGAAGCTTGTATCACAGGTCTGTCTTGGTGGAAAAGAGTTCAGCTGATATTGGACATCACTTGAGAAACACCCTGGACAAGATGACTGTGATGCAAAAAAGAACAAAACACAACTAACCATCAACACCAACAAATGACAGGCTAACCCAGGATGGAACTATATGGGGTTTAGACATGGGACAATATCCTAAGAGAAAAGAAGAAGAAAAATGTATGTGTAATAGTGGTCAGTACTGAGAATGATCCCCCTCTGTTTGAATTCTGATTGTATCTTCCATCTCACTATAAATGTAGGTACACTACATGCAGTTAAGTGAAAATGACCATGTCTAAGATCTCTGGCTCTTAAATCTGGTTGGACAGAAGAACAGAGCAGCGTAACATGGAGTGATAAAGGGGATTATATCTGCTTTCGTTCAATAAGCCTGTAGGACAAAGGAGGTTTGTTTGTCCAGATAAATGTCTGTTTCCAACTTGAAACCAGGTCTTACAGAAGAAGCCACCACATGTATGACAGGCTTTTCGTTGTTTTTTTTCGCATGTGCAAAGTACACATGTAATACGTCAATGTATATTTATAGCTGTGCTGTGCATGGAGCATCTTGAAATTCATGCGTGTGTGAACAGATGCTCAGGATCTGGAACAGCATGAAGTTCTGACCACAAGCTAAGAAAACAACGGAGGGGGGGAAAAAAACTTTTTCAGTCTGCTGTTCAAACATGGAAGGGCTCCTAGTGAAAATACACAAAGCTTTTTGTTTCTTTTTTCACACTCAACAACACGGAGAAAAACCTCCAAAAAGGAAAACTTTGCTTCTGGACGCTTTCGATCCGAGCTGCTGCTGCCTCCCACCACACATGAGGCCGAATGGCTACTTGTGTTTACCTAGCCATGTGACTGAAGCCTCAGTACGTCCAGTGACGTCAGCGTGCATTCCTCGCATTCATCAGTCTCAGTTCTCACTGATACTGTCTCAGTTACTGCGACACACAGGGAGCAAATATCATACATTATAAAAGCAGCAATCATTCACTGGGCCTGTGTTTGCTATATTTATCTTTCCTGATAAAATAAATAAACCCTACTTTGCCATCTGTTTTCATAAACAGTTGAGCCCTCATGAGCAGTTATTGCCTGAAATAGTCCTCCTGTTCCACTTAAAACATGGAACCCATAAATAATTGTAAAGTTGCTGTCAAGAGATGAATACGTGGAACATAAAAACTCCCTATATAAATCTGTATAGTTTTTATCGACAGGATGTTTAGTTTTGTGCTTTAGCTCTACATGTTTTTTTTTATTTGGTATTCTATTAGATATACTACAAAATACACTGATGATATCACAGTAAAGTATAAATGATATAATATAGTAAGTGGATTAATTATCAGTCCTCTAATGAACACTGTTCAGTCGTGCATTTTCTGACAAAGCAAACTCTAATGGCCTTATAATGGCTTAGGGGAAACTGTGCATCATTTTCTTCCTTTCACTTACGGAATGTGAATCCATGATTATGTTCATTTGGACCTGCTAGCAGAAGTCCCTGTCCTGTTTACTGAAATCGTTCTTCCACTTTTCTTTGTTTAGTACTTCTAATAGGGGGTAATTCAGTCATAAATGTTCAATTAAAATAGTGATTTTGAAGAAGATGTGAAAATTGTACGAGGATTCATTTAAATAAAAATATCAGGATGGTGGTGAATTCCCTCACTATTACTTTTCATTGCATTAGAAATGCACCTTTCACTTGCTGGTTAGTCTCCAGCACACAACTCTCTCTCAGTACTTGCTCAGCACTGTTTCCACTGGTTTCTTCATACAGGTTGTGCAAGCTTATCCTCTGTGTGCTCGTTTTATCTGTTATATGGCATACAGAAAAATATCCCTATCCAGAAATATTGCAGGATTTGCACAAAATGATGCAATCTCGCTTCACCTTTTTGGGATTTTTGTCTCCCGATTCATAGCATCACATGCTGATACAGCTGAGATTATTGGTGCTGTTGGACATTTATTCTCAAAGCTTTGATTAACACATCGCTATAATGCAAGATCCTTACAAGTCCTCTGATATCAGCAGCTGTCTGGGCAAGCTATCTTTGAGAGTAGGCTTTGGTTTTACTTAAAATGAAATAATTAATAGTAGAAGAGTACAACCTGTGCACCTCCCCAGGTTGTACTTCACAACTCTTCACTACAGAGGTCAATAAAAGCCATGCTGGAAATTATTCTTAAATGGTGTAATCTTTCAATCTAAGGTTACTCATGAGGTCAGGATAACACATCTTCTTTTGTCATGATTTCAGGATAATGCCTGACATTAATACTTTGCATAACATCACTTGCTTTCTTGTGATAAACATTATTATCAGGTGATCAAAGGAAACAAGATTGTTCCCTTTTATGGTGGTCAGAGCATCGGGGCTGACTTACACAGAGAATTAAGCATTGGTCCGTCTGTCATCTTGGCTTAGTAGATACTGCCTGCTTGAATGACTTAAAGACTTCCTGATTGAAGAGGAAAGATCCTGCCCAACAACCGTGCCAGCAATCTTGGGGGTTGAAGTTAAGTTCTGAAACACTTTGTGTTTCCCTTATTCTTTCCTTTGATTTCTTCATTATCCTTTCTTTTAGGGTTTATTATTCATAAGAAATCTTGAAATCCTGTCTCACCTAAATGTTCCCCAAAAGTTTGACCAAATGATTTGTTTCCGATCTGAATAAAATGTATATGCACGCATGGAAATCTATTCTGATTTGGCATCTAACAATAAATTGCCTTTGCTTCTCGAGCATAAACATGTTTAAAGTATTCCTAAATCCCCAAGAATAATTTACCCATCTATTTGATCATCTTTACAATAAAGAAACACTTTTTAAAGGAGACAAATCAGAGAGAGGATCTACTTTATCAGTCAAATGAATACATTCGGCATTAAACATAAAAAAAAGAACATTTGACAATACATTCCTGCAGAATCTGGTCTTGCAACACTTACTTGCAGTCACAAAAGCATTGTTGAATTCTTCTGGCACATGTTCAGTTTCTTTTCTGTTTGTTATCTGAGACTAAAAAAATCAACTATAATTTGAAAACTTTTTTTCATAACAATCAGCAAAGACCACACTTTAACTTTCCCCAAATTCCCCAGAGAAAAGCGCACAATGTTCCAGCACGTTTCATGTGACACAAAAACAGCACCAACTTCACTAAATGAAATAAAACTAATAACCCAGTCAGGTTAAGAAAAGATGACTAATTTGGAACGAGACCCTCCTTGACTGTCAGCAAAGAAACTTGAATTTTCTTTCGTCTGACCCGTTTTTTCACATCAAGTCCAAACATTCAAACTTCTTGATTCGGGGAAGCAAAACATCACAGGTTGCCTTACAGTAAATCCTTTCATGACAGCATATGAAAGCTCCTTTTTTTCAGGATCACATTGTGATGGATATCGCCTCATCAACAAAACACACAAAAAAACTCTGTGAAATATTGTGCGTAATAGTGGCTATCGTAATCTATTTGTGTTTCCTAATAAAACCTTATTTACAATGCAGTGGGAAAACCGGTCGAGCTCTGTTGCTAACACCAGTAAAAATGCGTGCTGCAGAGAAGACTGTAAAGACCAAAAACTCTTCCAGGCCTCCTGAACAGTCCACCCTGCAGCACAGCTGAGGAAACAATTTACGGAGACCTTTGCCTTTCGCATTCTGCTCTCCACGCCATGCTCCAAATCCACCACACAACAGCAGGCTCAGCTTGCTACCAATTGAAGAAGCAGGGAAAACATTATGTGGACATGAGGGGATGCGGGCTGTGCTCGACTTTGTAGCCACCGCATTATCCAAATGTCTGTTTGTTATTCTTATAATTGTCCAATCAGTAATAATGACAGCAAAATTAATCAAACAATGAAAAGAAAGATTAAAAGTACTTTTAAGATTCCGTTCAGCAGAGGTTCACATCCCGTATAAGTCCAACAAGCTGGGGTTGTAGCCTGAAGCTAATGTGGCTCCTCATCTGTAATTGCTTTAATTGCACTTTCCACGGACCATGTAAAAGCAGAAATAAATGTCTGCTGAAGCTTGGAATAAATGTCGACCATTGTGAAAACAATCCTGGCTCGAAAAATGCCCAATTTGAAAGCACAATTCACTTTGATGGGAAGTAGCTCAATTAATTACAGAGGTAGACTAAAAGAGAGGTATCATAAAACTGAGCAATAAACAGCTCTAACTGCACACTTGATAAGATTGTACTGCATAGGGCTTGTAAATATAACATGGCCACCCTGGAGTTTAAAACTGTGATAAAGTTTTTCCTTTTTTTCAGGATAAGTCAACATTATGTTTATAGTGTGCATGTGTGTTCTATTGCAAACGAAAACCGATCCCAGACAAATTATCATATAACCTGTATAATACAGCAACACAAGCCTAAATAAAATTGATCTGGCACAAATGAGGAGTCACGTTAAAAAGGAAGGATAGAAATACAAGTGCAAATGCAAAACTTTGAAGCAGCAACTCTGGTGTTTTTGAATTCCTGGAGATCAGAATCATCCCTCAACTGCACTCTAAATTATCATTTAGCTGTTTTTTTGTGTTTTTTTTAAAGACTGAATTGAAATCAGTCAAAAGGTAAATTAGATCCATGCATTCTGGTGTAAGTATCATACGACATATAGCTCCAATATGAGAAAATGTGATATACATGAAAAGAACTGTGATATTTTGTAAGATACCACTCTTATGGTAGGCCTTTCAAATGACCAGTTACACAGAGGAGACAGTCAGCTCATAACATATTGTCACATGGAAAAACCTGTTACCCTTTCAAGCCTGGAGTGACGCACATTTTACATCAACATTAGGACACACAATACAATTCTTAGAAACACAGAGGCGAGAAAGCAGAGCAAAGTAAAGTTTTAACCCTTCAGAAACTTTGTTCAAGCTTCTAGCATCCTCAGAGGCTGATACATTCTTTTTAAAAGTATGAGTGGACTATTTCAATACTTTTCAGAAAACCGTAAGGTTTTAGAAGGCTTTAGGTCTGGGTTATAACATGTTTTTTAAAGGAAATTTTAAAGTGGACAACAACAGAGGGGCATTCACTCCTGAAAGGCTTCGGTACAACAAATGTAGAGCTGTGAGCTTAGGTGCTGATGTTGTGCAAATAAGGGAAGCACGCTAAAGCTTCTGTGCTTCTCACCTTCAAAAAATATAAATAAAAATTAGGCCGTATGCAAATATAGGCAGGTAAAGGTAGCATACTCTACATCTGTCAGTGCACTCTCATTTGAAAGTGAAAAATCCAGCACACATTGCGTATTGATGTTTAAAACATGTATGTTTTGCACAGAATTAAAAAATAACCATTCTAAGAAGCGGTTTGCATGATTCCAAAAGGTTTTGAGTAGCATTTCTTAAGCCAGCACATTTAGGTTTATATTAGTCCCTAAACTACTCCTCTAACTATTTACCCCTCCTCACACTCATTTTAAGCTATATTTACAACACTTTTTTGCTAAACATAACTATATCCAGATTTGATTCTAATACTCACCTTGTTCTTGTCCTTCACAGGCTCCGGTCCCTGTGCTGAGCTGGCAGTGCCATGCTAAAGTGTGGCAACTAGAGGACCAGAATTGACAGAATGAGCCTAGCCTCGGGCGGTTATGTCTCAACTCTGGCTCATTGGTTTGTGGTTCAATAGCGCTCCCAGGGTCTGAGCTTAAAACTCCACTCACATGCAACAATAGACTAATGGGCATGGTTCTCTATGTCCAAAAGCCTCTGAAAGTCAAAGCCGAGTCAGCCAGGAGCCCGGCCATGACTCGGCACTGACCAGTAAAACGCTATTTTTTATGGCTGTCATCTGGTAAGACTGCCTCTCTGGTAAACCACACAGAGGCACACACACTCACACACTAC